TAGTAAATATTTTTTTTCTCATTTGTTTGTTGGGCTATCTCGTTGAAACTTGGGCAATGTATGATGGAAAGATGCTTCTTAACGTACAACAAAAATAAAAAAGACGGACGATAAATAAGGGAGTTCACTTCTCAGCCATTAGCCGCCTCTTTGCAGTATATTTTCGTATGGTTTTTATGATTGTATTCTCATTTTTTTGGACTCATTTGATAGAATGGAAGATATATTACACAAATAGACATGATTTTGATTGCTTTCATGACGAAAAGTACCTTGAAATTGAGCTCAAAATAGCAGAAATGTTCGATTTTTGCCGATGTTCAATGAACTTTCATGACGAAAAGTACCTTGAAATTGAGCTCAAAATAGCAGAAATGTTCGATTTTTGCCGATGTTCAATGAACTTTGTGTAAGTCAAGTTGGTTAATTTTATTAAGTGTATTCCAACCTAACCACTCTGTAATCCGGCAAACTTAGTAATCCGGCACACTACAGGTCCCAATGATGCTGGATTTGTGATGGAGGACCTGTACATGCATAGTAATAATTCAGATGGCTTCTGCTAGTTGGCACAGCTGATGGCACAGCTGGTAAGCAGTAAACATGTTTACATCGCTGTGGGAGCAGTTCTCGCATATTATGGCCTATTTTATTCATTCTAGAGTATATATCATGTTTCTGTGGTAATTATATTGTTTATTATGTTATATTAGATGAATTGTGATAGATAAATAAGCTGTACAGTTGATAATAGCATCATATTCTAGTATTTTTTTCTCATCTCTCCAGAGTGCAGGAATGGATTAACCCTTTCAGGGTCCGTCCCGTAGATCTACGGCTTTACGTTCAGGGTCCAAACCGTAGATCTACGCCATGAGCTCAGCTCACTCTGATAAACTGTGAGTGGTACATTTGGGCCTAGATATGAGAGAATACATCTATGTGGTATGTGTGCACCACATAAAACAGATCCTGCAGCACACTGTGTATAATGAGAGAAAAAAAATGAAATCATGATTTTTCGATTAAAACAGCAACTTTGCAGTGTTTTTTCGTATGTTTTTTATAGTTGTATTTGCGATTTCTTGGTCTCATTTGATAGAATGGAAGACATATTACAGAAATAGAGATGATTTTGATTGGTTTTAGCACTGGAAATGGCTTGAAACTGAGCTCAAAGTAGCAGAAATGTTTAAATTTTTGCCGATATTCAAGAGTAAACAAACGACCTCACACGTCTAATACACGTCAGCTGGTGGGTCTAATATACATCACAAATATGGTGATGATATTTATACAATTATACAGTATTGCATAACAGTAAATCTTCTATTTTTTGGTGTGAATAAAAATTCATTATGTGAATAAAAAATCAAAATGGAATTTATTTGTAAAGCCTCAAAACATAACTAATGAACAGAGGAAATGTTAGTTTAGTGCCAGGAATGCCTACATTGTTTATTCTGGACCCTATTTTGAAATTGGAATATTTTGAACTTTGTGTTAAATTGGCCAAATTAACAATTTCCGATCACTTTATTTTGTAGTTGAAACAGTTGACTTGGCGATTTCTTGTGCTCAATCGATAGACTAGAAGTAATACTAGTGAAATAGCTGAGAATTTGGTTGATTGGAATAATGTAATTGGCCTAAAATGGGAGTCAAAGTCGGCAAAATCGCCGATTCGTAAATATCGCTGACACATCAAAATTTGCGAGAGCATAATTTCGTCAATTTTCCACCAAATTTTGTACTTTTTCTTTTATTACCTTCACAAAAAGATTCTCTACTATTTCATAAGAAAGAATAACAAATTTTTTTTTTTTGAAAATTCTTGGACACTGGTGCGTGACTCCAGATTTGGGCCTTGGACCCTGAAAGGGTTAATGACTTCAGTTAATTTAAATGAAGAAAATTAATTTGATATACGAGTAAATTGAGTTACGAGCTAGCTCCTGGAATGGATTAAACCCATAAATTAAGGTTCCACTCTATATAGAGTTGACTATTATCCATGGTAGATCTTGGAACGTATCCCCTGTAGATAAGGGTCGTACCGGTAAGTGTAATATATATCTTCTTTATAGTATAATAATAAGGTATTAAAAGGACCCCAATTAAATAAGTCACTGTCTGACTTTTTTTTGGGTTATCCTAGGTTCTCTACACACATGCTGCTATGTATGATAATCTGTGTAACTGTATTTGTGTATACCTGAATAAACTTAATTACTTACTTTAACCCTTTGAGGGTTTTGGTCGTACTAGTACGTCTTATGCGTTGGGGTTTTTGACGTACTAGTACGCATAAATTCTAGCGGCCTCAAATCTCGCGCGAAAAGGCTGGTAGGCCTAGGTGTGAGAGAATGGGTCTGCGTGGTCGGTGTGCGCGGTAGAAAAAAAATCTGGGACCCAGTGGTGCATTGTGGGAATGCCCTCTTAGTAAACAATGTCCACCATGCCTCGCGGTAAGAAGGTCCTCACTCCTCGGCGAATTGGGACACTTTTGTTCCCCAGTGACAGTTCTAATAGTGATGGAAGTGCCAGTGAAGATGAGTTTCGTGGTTTTTAGTGAGGTTTTGACCGAAACTAATGACCATAATATCGGTAATAGTGAGGAAAACCCAGACGACCCTCAGCCTTCCACCTCTGGTGCTGGGCCCCTTGTTCACGTTCAGTTGTTCCAGAACCCAAGAGGAAACTTCTATTTCCCAAATCCCAGACTCAGATGAGAGCATGGGTGATGATAGTGATAGTGAATATGAACTACAAGCTCTTCAAACTAGTTCCAGTAATGATAGTGAAGTGCAATATTCCCCAGTGAAGCGTCAGTATATACGACGATATATGCGCTCTGGTAGTGTGCCATATGTTATACCAAGGGGAAGGAGTGTATCTCGGAGTACATCCCGTGGCTGTACAACAGGAACAGACAGTGAAAATGACGAAGATACTGTTGCAATTGGGATGGAAAATGTGCGTGGTGGTAGTGGTGCCGGCGGTGAGGCACCAGCAGTGGGCAATGCTGCCACCCACGCTGCCACCCACGCCGCCACCCACGCCGCTGCCTCAGCTGATCTAGAACAAAGGCCACCATCCCCCACTCACCCACCACACCAGCCTCCACAACCACAACCTCCACAACCACAACCACCTGTCATTGTCCAGTACCCACCAGCAGACCGCACCTGGGATTGGCAGGAAGCTGTCAATTTTGTTCCAAATCCCCACCAGTTTGATGACAGCCAAAGTGGAATACGGCCATCTTGTGCACTTGGGAACAATGCCACTGAACTGGAATGTTTCGAGTTATTCTTTGCATTCTACGCATTTTTATCCCTTCAGGAAGCTTGTAATTGACGAGTCTTTGATTCTGTTCAAAGGAAGACTCTCTTTCAAGCAGTACATACCAAGCAAGAGGAAACACTTTGGTATAAAGTTGTTTGTGCTTTGTGATTGTTACAGTGGTCTGGTATTGGATATTATTGTGTACACTGGAAGTTATACATTGCAAAATACCAGGAAGTTATTGGGCATCTCAGGTGATGTGGTTCAAACAATGATAGAACCATACCTTGGTAAGGGGCATATATTATATACAGATAACTGGTACACAAGCCCCTCACTCAGTGATTTTTTGCGAGTGAACATGACAGATGTGTGTGGCACAGTGCGTGCAAATCGGAAACATATGCCCAGGTTTGACGCTGGCACTCGTAGAGGTGAGGTGCAGGCGTTTGCTGCCAATGACATCATGGCATTTCGGTGGCATGACAAACGAGATGTCACACTGTTGTCATCAATTCACCCTATATGAAATGGCAGACAGTGGCAGGCAGCATAGAGAGAGAAATGAACCCATTCTAAAACCTGCAGCTGTGATTGATTACACCTTCAACATGCGTTCAGTGGACAAATGTGACATGCAGATTGGGTTTGCTGATTGTGTTCGCAGAGTTATAAGTGGTACATCAAACTGTTTTTCCATCTTCTGGACATTCCATGCTCAATGCTTATAATTATGTATAAGATGAGCACCAGAAACAAACCACAGTACGGCGAATTCTGTTTGTCTGTCATCAGACAAATATATTCAAGTACCAAGAACAGCACCTGCAATTGACCGCCCACCAAATTATCAACAACTACCTGCTCGTCTGAAGCATGGTGATCACTTCCTGGTAAAACTGCCTGCTACTGCTTTGAAGAAAAAGGCTCAGAAGAGGTGTTACGTCTGTGCACATACAAAAAAAAACGCACACAACAACGCAGAGACACGTTTTATGTGTGAGGAGTGCAAAACTCCACTGTGCATGACACCATGTTTCAAAGAGTTCCACAGGCTTCAGAACTTCTAGAAACATTCCCTGTGACTGTATATGTGTATATAAAATATAGAAAAATAGTAATAAACAACATTTCATATCGTTTGTTTGTGTAAATATTTTCCGTAAACAAAATAATGACAACAGTGTTTACGCCCTTATTGTGTAGTATTGAAAAAGAAATAACTTACAAAATACTGATCATGTTGGCCTCAGAGGTCATAAAAGTTACTCAGAAAAAGAAAAATTGAAAAAATAATTGAAAATAGTACATAAAAAAGTAAATAGAAAAATACTGGGTGACGGCAGTCGGCGATGTTACCATATGTTGTTCAATTTTGGCAAATTTCACGCCTCCATATCTCGGTAAGTATTGACTTTAAAATTTTTTTGTTTAGCCTATAATGTTTAGAAAAAAAAAACTATTTTTTCATAAGAAAAAATATTTTTTTTTTTTTTTTGAAATTTGGCCGACCCTGAGAACGAGTTTCAGAGAGGGCCTGTCGACCCTCAAAGGGTTATGATGATAAAGCAGTACCTTAATGATCTCTTCATTTATTGTGTTTGATATCCAGATTAAACAAAACATTTATCATCATCATCATCTTTATATGTGAATGTTTTGTACCTCTGTATTATATTCGACCATTTCTAAATGTAGTTAAACAATGACAGAGAACGTGAGGAAGAAGCAAAAAGGGAAAAGGCACGGCAAGAAGCAGAGCGTCGACGTCAGGAAGAACTGGAACGTGAGATGCAACGTCAACGCGAACTAGAGGCCCAGCGTGAACAAGAACGAAAACGACAAGAAGAACTTAGAGAACAAGCACGCAAGTTAGTATTGTATTGTATGTGTTTCTAATGTATGTGTTTCCTTGATGACACACTGTATGTGTCATGTCTGTCACTGCTTGGTGTCTCCTGGATGACACACTGTGTCAGAAATGTCACTATTTTCAAGAGTTCTTTTTGTTGATAGGGAGGTTCTGCTTTGGTGCTGATTAATCACATGTCAGTCTGGTTCATTGAGATCTCAGTCATCACTGATTTACACCGTGTAAACTTTTCTTTGATAGGGCTGTATATTGCCAAGAGTACTGGTTACTTACCGATCTGATGGCACTGATGACACCTGGCACTTGGTTCTTTATTCAGGCCATAATTATCTAACATGTTCAGCCTCTGATGGCATGTAACATTGGTGTCATGCCTGTCTCATATGATTGACACTATGACTGAACATTATACCTTTCTCTAAGCTAGATCCCTACCTTTTTTTTTTATTTTTTAACAAGTCGGCCGTCTCCCACCGAGGCAGGGAGACCCAAAAAGAGAGGAAATCCCCCCCAAAAAAATACTTTCATCATCATTCAACTTTTTCACCTCACTCACACATAATCACTGTTTTTGCAGAGGTGCTCAGAATACAACAGCTTAGAAGCATATACGTATGAAGATACACAACATATCCCTCCACACCGTCAATATCCCGAACCCCTCCTTTAGAGTGCAGGCAGTGTACTTCCCATTTCCAGGACTCAAATCCGGCTATATAAAAATAACCAGTTTCCGTGAATCCCTTCACTAAATATTACCCTGCTCTCACTCCAACAGATCGTCAGGTCCCAAGTACCATTTGTCTCCATTCACTCCTATCGAACACACTCATGCATGCCTGCTGGAAGTCCAAGTCCCTTGCCCACAAAACCTCCCTTACCTCTTCCTTCCAGCCTTTTCGAGGACAATCCCTACCCCGCCTTCCTTCCCCTACAAATTTAAATGCTCTCCATGTCATTCTACTTGGATCTATTCTTTCTAAATGACCAAACCACCTCAACAGCCCCTCTTCAGCCCTCTGACTAATACTTTTATTAACTCCACACCTTCTCCTAATTTCCACACTCCAAATTTTCTGCATAATATTTACACCACACATTGCCCTTAGACAGAACATCTCCACTGCCTCCAACCGCCTCCTCGCTGCTGCATTCACAACCCAGGCTTCACACCCATATAAGAGTGTTGGTACTACTATACTTTCATACATTCCCTTCTTTGCCTCCATAGATAATGTTTTTTGTCTCCACATATACCTCAACACACCACTCACCTTTTTTCCTTCATCAATTCTATGATTAACCTCATCCTTCATAAATCCATCCGCCGACACGTCAACTCCCAAGTATTTGAAAACATTCACTTCTTCCGTACTCTTCCTCCCTAATTTGATATCCAGTTTTTCTTTATCTAAATCATTTGATACCCTCATCACCTTACTCTTTTCTATGTTCACTTTCAACTTTCTACCTTTACACACACTCCCAAACTCGTCCACTAACCTTTGCAATTTTTCTTTAGAATCTCCCATAAGCACAGTATCATCAGCAAAAAGCAACTGTGTCAATTCCCATTTTGTATTTGATTCCCCATAATTTAATCCCACCCCTCTCCTGAATACCCTAGCATTTACTTCTTTTACAAGTCCATCTGTAAATATATTAAACAACCATGGTGACATCACACATCCCTGTCTAAGTCCTACTTTTACTGGGAAATAATCTCCCTCTTGCCTACATACTCTAACCTGAGCCTCACTATCCTCGTAAAAACTTTTCATCACTTTCTATAACCTACCTCCCATTTCATACATTTGCAACATCTCCCACATTGCCCCCTGTGTACCCTATACTGATGTAACTGACAGGTAAAGGATAATATAATTGAATTATTTGTGCAGTTAATTTAATGTTAAAATAATTGTTACCATCAGAGATGCTGAACTACAGAGGCAGCAAGAATGGGAAAACCAGCGACTTCAGGAGTTGATGAATGTAAGACAACGTCAGCAAGAAAATCTATTATCTTTGAAAGCAAAAAATCAGAGTTTGTCTATAGAACTTACAACTAAGGTAAGTTTTGAGTGTTGTAATACTAAACATTTTAGTGTGTTTAGGCAAGTTTCTTGTAAATTATTATTGTAGTACACTGTACAGTAGGGCCCCACTTATACGGCAGGTTAGGTTCCAGGCTACCGCTGTAAAGCGGAAATTGCCGTAAAGTGGAACACCTTTTTTTTCCACTTATAAATGCATATAAATCCTAGATAACTAGGCATTAAAAAACCAATAAAGAAGTAAAATACACATATAGTACACTCATTACTTATCTTAAAATATTTGTAGTCCTAATCTAGGGTGAGATGAGTAGTGTTTATTGTAAAAAATCAAGTGTGGTATGTATGGTAGCCAGCCAGGCTACCATACCAAGCCAACCCACCCACACACAATATTCTATAACATTTGAGCATCCCAGAGCGATACAATGCATATACAGTGGACCCCCGGTTAACGATATTTTTTCATTCCAGAAGTATGTTTAGGTGCCAGAACTGACCGAATTTGTTCCCATAAGGGATATTATGAAGTAGATTAGTCCATTTCAGACCCCCAAACATACACGTACAAACGCACTTACATAAATACACTTACATAATTGGTCGCATTTGGAGGTGATCGTTAAGTGGGGTCCACTGTACAGTTCATTCATTACTTACCTTAAAATATTTGTAGTCTTAGTGTAGGGTCAGAGGTGAGTAAATGAGATAAAACAAGTAAATGAGAGAGAGAATGAGTACATGAGAGAGGACACTCGCAGAGTTAGGTAAACAAACCAGGCGAACGCCAGTTTTGTAAACAAACCAAGCAAAAATGTCTGGTTTGTGTACAAGTTACATTGTGTACAAGTTGTCTCTATGTTGATACGGTAGAATAAATAAAGGGGAACACTCCCATTCTCATGTAACACCATTTTTTAGAAGAAACGATGCTCTAAGTGAAGGCTTACAAAAGGAATAATTTTCTACAGTTACCCCCAGTAACACACATTCTCTTACGTTAGACTAGAGAAAACGTTATTCTTGCCATCACTCATGCAAGTTGTCTGGCTACCGCATCTCATATTTATGTTTGTTTATTCTACTGTGGGGTGTATTTATCATCTTTTTCTGTCTCATAAACACGCTAGATAACAGGGACATCTTGCTACTCCTACTTACACTTTGGTCATGCTTCACAGACATGCACATGCACATATATATACATACATCTAGGTTTTTCTCCTTTTTCTAAATAGCTCTTGTTCTTCTTTATTTCTTCTATTGTCCATCGGGAAGTGGAAAAGAATCTTTCCTCCGTAAGCCATGCGTGTCGTATGAGGTGACTAAAATGCCGGGAGCAATGGGCTAGTAACCCCTTCTCCTGTAGACATTTACTAAAAAAGAGAAGAAGAAAAACTTCATAAAACTGGGATGCTTGAATGTGTGTGGATGTAGTGTGGATGACAAGAAACAGATGATTGCTGATCTTATGAATGAAAAGAAGTTGGATGTCCTGGCCCTAAGCGAAACAAAGATGAAGGGGGTAGGGAAGTTTCGGTGGGGGGAAATAAATTGGATTAAATCGGGAGTATCTGAGAGAGTTAGAGCAAAGGAAGGGGTAGCAGTAATGTTGAAGGATCAGCTATGGAAGGAGAAAAGAGAATACGAATGTGTAAATTCAAGAATTATGTTAATTAAAGTAAAGGTTGGATGCGAAAAGTGGGTCATAATAAGCGTGTATGCACCTGGAGAAGAGAGGAATGTAGAGGAGAGAGAGAGATTTTGGGAGATGTTAAGTGAATGTATAGGAGCCTTTGAACCAAGTGAGAGAGTAATTGTGGTAGGGGACCTGAATGCTAAAGTAGGAGAAACTTTTAGAGAGGGTGTGGTAGGTAAGTTTGGGGTGCCAGGTGTAAATGAAAATGGGAGCCCCTTGATTGAACTTTGTATAGAAAGGGGTTTAGTTATAGGTAATACATATTTTAAGAAAAAGAGGATAAATAAGTAGACAAGATATGATGTAGGGCAAAATGACAGTAGTTTGTTGGATTATGTACTGGTAGATAAAAGATTGTTAAGTAGACCTCAGGATGTACATGTTTATAGAGGGGCCACAGATATGTCAGATCACTTTCTAGTTGTAGGTACACTGAGAGTAAAAGGTAGATGGGATACAAGGAGAATAGAAGCATCAGGGAAGAGAGAGGTGAAGGTTTATAAACTAAAAGAGGAGGCAGTTAGGGTAAGATATAAACAGCTATTGGAGGATAGATGGGCTAATGAGAGCATAGGAAATGGGGGCGAAGAGGTATGGGGTAGGTTTAAAAATGTAGTGTTGGAGTGTTCAGCAGAAGTTTGTGGTTACAGGAAGGTGGGTGCGGGAGGGAAGAGGAGCGATTGGTGGAATGATGAAGTAAAGAGAGTAGTAAGGGAGAAAAGTTAGCATATGAGAAGTTTTTACAAAGTAGAAGTGATGCAAGGAGGGAAGAGTATATAGAGAAAAAGAGAGAGGTTAAGAGAGTGGTGAAGCAATGTAAAAAGAGCAAAGAGAGAGTGGGTGAGATGTTATCAACAAATTTTGTTGAAAATAAGAAAAAGTTTTGGAGTGAGATTAACAAGTTAAGGAAGCCTAGAGAAAAAATGGATTTGTCAGTTAAAAATTGGAGAGGAGAGTTATTAAATGGAGAGTTAGAAGTATTGGAAGATGGAGGGAATATTTCGAGGAATTGTTTAAACGTTGATGAAGATAGGGAAGCTGTGATTTCGTGTATAGGGCAAGGAGGAATAACATCTTGTAGGAGTGAGGAAGAGCCAGTTGTGAGTGTGGGGGAAGTTCGTGAGGCAGTAGGTAAAATGAAAGGGGGTAAGGCAGCCGGGATTGATGGGATAAAGATAGAAATGTTAAAAGCAGGTGGGGATATAGTTTTGGAGTGGTTGGTGCAGTTATTTAATAAATGTATGGAAGAAGGTAACATACCTAGGGATTGGCAGAGAGCATACATAGTTCCTTTGTATAAAGGCAAAGGGGACAAAAGAGAGTGCAAAAATTATAGGGGGATAAGTCTGTTGAGTATACCTGGTAAAGTGTATGGTAGAGTTATTATTGAAAGAATTAAGAGTAAGATGGAGAATAGGATAGCAGATGAACATGGAGGCTTTAGGAAAGGTAGGGGGTGTGTGGACCAGGTGTTTACAGTGAAACACATAAGTGAACAGTATTTAGGTAAGGCTAAAGAGGTCTTTGTGGCATTTATGAATTTGGAAAAGGCGTATGACAGGGTGGATGGGGGGGCAATGTGGCAGATGTTGCAGGTGTATGGTGTAGGAGGTAGGTTACTGAAAGCAGTGAAGAGTTTTTACGAGGATAGTGAGGCTCAAGTTAGAGTATGTAGGAAAGAGGGAAATTATTTCCCAGTAAAAGTAGGCCTTAGACAAGGATGTGTGATGTCACCGTGGTTGTTTAATATATTTATAAATGGGGTTGTAAGAGAAGTAAATGCGATGGTCTTGGCAAGAGGCGTGGAGTTAAAAGATAAAGAATCACACATAATGTGGGAGTTGTCACAGTTGCTCTTTGCTGATGACACTGTGCTCTTGGGAGATTCTGAAGGGAAGTTGCAGAGATTGGTGGATGAATTTGGTAGGGTATGCAAAACAAGAAAATTAAAAGTGAATACAGGAAAGAGTAATGTTATGAGGATAAAAAAAAGATTGGGTGAAAAAAGTTTGGATATCAGATTGGGGGGAGAGAGTTGGAGGAGGTGAATGTATCATGTATTTGGGGAGTGGAGTGTCAGCGAAGGGTTTATGAGAGAGGGGTGAATCATAAAATTGATAGGGGAAAAGGGTGAGTGGTGCACTTAGGGTCTGTGGAGCAAGAACTTGTCCTTGGAGGCAAAGGGGGGGAATGTATGGGGTTTTAAGTTTTATCAACACTTTTAGGGGTGTGAAGCATGAGTGATGAATGTTGCAGGAGGGAGAAGGCTGGGGCAGTGGGATGTATTTGGGGCAATGTGTGGTGTAATATAATGCAGAGAATTCGTAGTTGGAATTAGGAGGGGGTGGGGGTTCCCAAAACGTTGTCCAAGGGCTGGGGAAGGGCTGTTGAGGTGGTTGGGAATGTAAAGAAGGAGCGAAACAGAATGACTTCAAGAGTGTATCAGCTGTAGGGAAGGAAGGGGGGGTTTGGGTTGGGCCTAGGAAATTTGGGAGGGAGGGTGTAAAGGGGGTTTTTTGGGGGTGCGAGGGGTTGGACTTCCAGCGCATGGTGGCGTTTTGATAGGGTAAATGGAGACAAAGGGGTTTTTTTAATACTTGACGTGCTGTTGGAGTGTGAGCAAAGTAACATTTATAAAGGGGGTTGGGGGAAAACCCGCGGGCCGACTTGAGTCCGGGAGATGGGAAGTACAGTCCCTGCACTTGAAGGGGGGGTGTTAATGTTGCGGTTTAAAAAACTTAGGTAAAGCACCCTTTTGGCAAGACAGTAGGAGTAAATGATGGTGAAAGTTTTTTTTTTTCGGCCCCCTGCCTTGGGGGGAATCGGCCAGTGTGATAAAAAAAAAATAAAAAAAAAAAATTTTACAGTGGAACCTCTGGGTTTTCTTTTTTGTTTTTTTCTAGTTTCTTTTCTTGTTTTTTTTCCTCTTATTTCCATGGGGAAGTGGAACAGAAATTTTTCCTGTAAACCATGGTGTTGTAAAAGGGGTACTAAAAAGCTGGGGGCAAGGGGCTGTAAACCTTTCTCCTGTGTAATTTACTAAATTTAAAAAAAGAAAACTTTTGTTTTCTTTTGGGCCCCCCTCCCCGTGGGAACGGGGGTTTTTTGAGAAAAAAAAAAAAAAAAAAAAAACTAATTTTCTATAAAAATGTTTTTTGGTAATATTTTTGGGTTTCGAACGGGTTTTGTATTTATTTTTCTTAGGGAAATATTGCTTGAATTTTAGACTTTTTTAATTTTGAACTAGCTCCTGGAAGGATTTAAATTCGATTTTGAGGTTCCCCCTGTGTTTTTTTTCAATGTACCAGCCGTATCCC